GATAAATTACTATATATATATATATATATTTAGGTATATATATAAGTGTAGATATAATAATTTACATATTACATCAAACCTATCATATGTGACAAAGTTAAATAATTATATAAGAAACAACGGTGATAAGATTCTTAAACGATTTACGACAAGTTTCATTAGAAATTTTGACGCTATTATCCATCGATTAAACTCACATTGTACTACAAAAGGTTAGATCGAAAGAGAAAATGTTGCATCGGACCAAACGTTCATATTGGCAAAGGTTCATTATTCCGTGCGCCATGACAGAGCCGTTTAAATTAATTCACAATGGGGCTACGATGAGGGTTTATGCCGCAAGTCCGCCCGTTTCTTAACTATGAACATCGAGTATACGTAAAGCACGAGGATTTAACAGCACCTCGTAAACTTCCCCGAGGGATTACGCCGCGGCGATGTAACGCGTGATTGGTCCTCGTGACCTCGGCACTTTCCAACCCTCCGAACTACACATTCAAAGTCACCTCTTTTACCTAACTACCACCACTAGTGGTAGTATTACGATTTTCCCTCATTTCTCCTCCTTCTCTCTGCTCTTCTCCTTCATTTTCTCTCTCCCTCTCTCTCTCTCTCTCTCTCTCAAAATTTCTCTCTCTTTTCCTTTCCCTTTCCTTTCCTTTCCTTTCGTCTCGCTTCATCAAACGGAATTTTCAACACCACTCAAGAGAGAACTCCTCGGAAAAACCGACGGAATTCGCTTCGCCGAATAGATCCAGTTACCGATAAAAGTTCAAATCTCGAAATGCGCTCGTTTAAAAATTCTTAAATATTCGCCGAACGTTCTCGACCGTCCATGGAAATCCGTAGATAGATCGAGTTCTGTTCAGCTGACGCATTTTCAGATATTTTTCGATTAAATTGAACGTATAAATAGATGCAGAACGCGTATTACGTACGCTTTTTATTGCTAATTTCTTTTCTTTTTCTTGTTTTTTTTTTTTTTTATTTATGCGTGCCAAGAGACTAACCTATTTTTATTTTGTCAATTGATATATCGAAAAATGTATAAGGTATACACGAGGTAAAAAAAAAGTCTTTTTAGTTTCTTCGTTAATTATACTCACAATCAGTGATCGTAATTTTTTCTAACTAACGATACATCTTACGTTGACCACTCTTAATTAGGTTTACTTGGTTCTTTGGTCACTTTGACCTATTATAATTTATCTTAGCTGCGTCGTAATTCGGGCCATGCCGTTTATTTTCCGTGATCGTAAAGGGAAATTCTCTGGACCAGTTGTATCTGTGTTAACGATCGTTAAACTTACTCGAGGCACGAGAGGCTGTAAACATCGGCGGTCGACTGGTGGGTTAAACGATAAAAACGAAAGATATCGGTCGTTAAGAATTAACGATGCGAACACTGAGATCGTCCGCTAATGCTTAGGATTAACTAAGAAAGATCTGCTGTTTTCTCGGAGAAAAAAAAAAAGAAAAATCACGTGTCTTTTATTCGTTCGTTTAATCGCCATGACAAAGTATTATTAGTGCCACAGTATTCGAAATTCACCATTTATTAGAGCGTGGACAAATCGTATTCCGATCTTTCTAACGAGTATGTTAGCTTTCTGTACCTATACTAACCTTTATGGAAATCATGGGGTCTATTGGGTCATTAAAATCAATGCTATGTGGGCCGAATTCTAAAAAAACCAAATGGAATTTCCTGTAAACGTTTTCTTACCCTGACAAAATATCTAATGTATCCCTAAAATTTCTCTATTCTTATATATCCTTAATTAGATCCTTTTTCCGGAGTTATAAAACATTGTAATTCTTTGATTTTATATTCCCATTATACACGAAGAAAATAGGCAACACAGAAAGATCAGAAAAAATAATAATTCTTTGTATATGTATATAGTTATTTTATATGATAGTGCAATTTTAATAAATTGCATCAACAACAAAAATGCATTAATTCTTGGCATATCAATCGTATATGACTGAACATATCCTATGATTTACCATTTTCAATTAACGTTTCATTATCCTTCTATAACCTCCAAACCGCCAAATTATTTCACGCAACAATACTTCTCTCGGAAATAAATCATAAAAAATGTAAAAGCTTCACATTGTAAAAGTTTTAAAGCGGCTGCAATGTTTTCGCCCGTGGTAAATTTTAATTTCAACTACCGGACGTACGCGTTAGGTAGAAAAGTAACAACATTACCGTATCGTTAAATGGATTAACACTCCACCAAAATATAATGCATTTTCCGGACATATCCGTGTCTTTCTTTTAAATGTACTTCCATGTATTTTTCTTTTGTTGTGTTTTGTTTTGTTTTGTTTTGTCTGAAATAAACTAAATAATTTGTCTTGATACTATAACGATTGTCAAGACAATAATTATCATATTATATATTTTGTGGATATCCATCTATTTTGATAGCATACGTTTCAAAACGAACTCGAATGAAAATTGAACATCGTTGGTTATCGTCAAAGTGGTCGTGCTTGATTAAAATTTCACGTCGGTTTTCCCTATGCAATATACTGCATTTTCAAAAGCAATCGTCATTAACAAGTTGCGCAAAGCCGAACATAATGGTATTTATTTATCAGCGATAAACGTGGTGCTTATCGGTGGAATTATATTTTTATCGCGGTCCAACCATCGTAATTTCAAGACCACCGAGACTGTCGATGACACGTATTTTTCACTAACTCGATAGGGTACTCGCAACTCATCGAATCGTTAATCGATTTTCACTCTCTTTCGTTTACTTCTCTCTCTCTCTCTCTCTCTCTTTTCCTCTCCCTATTTCATTTTTATATTTGATCACCGATATCTTCGTTTATCGCGACTTTTACCTACAATCGTAATTTGTATCACCAGGAAATGAACTACATTATTTATACTTTTTCTCGTTGAATATCGTCTACATGTATTTCATTGGACGGTTATATTATAAATGAAAATTAATCCGCAAGTCAAATATTTTTTACAACTCGTCTATCGTTATAATTGAAACTGTCAATCTGTTGTACTCGTGTTTTTCGTAATTGAATCATGAGAAAAAATGAAAAATCTAACAAATACAATCTCACATATGAACTAACAAAAGCACATAAAAGTAGCACAGAAACGATCTACGGTAGAACGTTAGTGGTCAACGGATCTGACAACTTTTTTTTTCCCATTACTGTATTCGTCATATCCATTATCGATGAATATATTGTCAATAATACAATAGCAACAATACTATTTATACATGCACAAATAAATATCTGGATGTCCCTTTAGAGAGTGTGAGTTGATTGCTGGACGTCTGAAAATCCTGTAGGGCTTCTATGAACGACTGATTCTGCGAGCTTGGTTAAGAGGATTTTTGACTCACCCCTATTCAACCACAATAGTCAAACCACCCTTATTCTCTTTTTCTTCTTTTATTCATTGCCATATATACATATATCACTTAGTTTCTTTCTCATTCCCTTTTTTTTCTGTGATTTCTCATCTGAACTTATACATACGCGCGCACACACACACAAACACACACTGTATCTCTTTTCCACGTCTATTTCTATGTCTCTACTCGCTCGGATACGCAACGATTCCTTTTCCGTTGTCCTTTGATAATGTGAACGGTTCAATGGGTTTGGGAAAACGATGTTCCATTTAATGAACGATTCCATTCTATCCTATAACACTAACGTTTATTGATAGTTAACAGACTAACGGCTTGGGTCGGGATACTAAAAGGACCAACATAAAATTGTATTTTATCTTATTACATTATTATCAATAATTTTTAAACGGGTTTTTCAGTACATTTGATAGTTTGATATTAAAGTAATTCGAAACGATTAAAGTATATGGATATGTAAATCCAATGGCCACGAAGTTTATTAAATTTGTGAATATCTAATTCATAGTAAATTATTGAAAGAAATATATTCTATGAATATGTGAGGAGAGAGAAAAAAAAAGATAATAACTTACGGAAACTAATAAGACAGCTGCTCGTCTAGAAAAATGTCGCGAGTCCTCGTTCCATCGGGCTTCAGAAATAGATCTGTAATATAAAAAAATTGTAAAGAAGATATTTCCAAGAAATAATCATTTAATATAAAATATGAAATTCTTTGAATTACATTTTATCATCGAACTTTAATATATTCTACTGTAGATACGTTAGTCTTTTTTTTAATTTAAAATACTTCATGCCAAATCTTGAAAATTGCTCTTTTATTTGTTCGCCTTTCATTTTTCATTTCAAAAATGAACATTTGTGTCCACCCTCCCCCTTTCTAATAATTTATTCAAAAGAATAGTTTTATTTTTGCATAAATTACGACAATACGTAGGAATAGAAACTTTTCAGATATTCATTATGTAAACCAGACTTTTAAGCTTTCTATGACAATTATGTAAAAATGCAAGCATTATTGTACGAAAGTTTCATAAAACTAAAAAGATGAGTACGTGTATTTAACTGGACTACAAATTAAGCGTTAATGAAAATTTGTCATCTGTACTTTTAGGCACAATTACTATCATTTGTATTCTTCTCTCTCACTCTCTCTCGACAATTGAAATGCATTTATAAAGCGTTTGATTAATATCCTTTCTTTCTTTTTATTACGATGATTCATTCAAAAAATTCTTACAAATAGTAGACGTTATATCGGTCAAATCTTCATTTTTATCTTTTTCGAAAAATGGATCATAAAAATTTCTACTTTTACAAACACTTCTCACACATTAATTTAAATAAATAATTATTTACACATATAACATAGTCTATGAGAGATTAAAACTAAATTAACAATGCATAAATGGTATTATTAAAAATGAATAAATCATATAGTGATTTTAATTCTCGTATAACAGACGCGAATATGGTTTCGTGCTTAAACTCACCTCCTGATTGAATGCCAGGAACGACAAAGGTCATAAAGAAGGTTTAGGAGTAGAACAGTAAAGCCAGTTTCCTTAGCCAACATTGACAGGGTACCGAGACACACACTGCTCCACACGTAAGCTGTTTGCTGACTGTAACAAAAGTAATTCCCTGAGGTTTAATTAAACAGGTTCATTTTACGAGCCGAATCATTGTAGAAAAATAAACAATTACAATTTTATCGTAAAATGTGAAACGCATTTCGCGTAGTTATTTTCTCGTATTTTTCTTTGAAATAATTGTATTCTCGATTCGGAACGCGATTAGATTTGTGTTTATATTTTCTTATTCTTTTTTCTAAATGTAGCGTAGAATCGTATTTTCTAAAAGGATAAAAAGGTATAGACACATGTACCTTATTCCATGCTAATAAATATTTCAACGAACAAAAGTATCTACGAGACTATTCAATAATCCATTTTCTTCCTTTTTCATTCTCTTATTTTCTATTTCAATACTTTGAATTCGTTTCGTTTCGGATGGTTACGAAAAGAGGGATAAAGAACAATCGTACATTTTCTAACACGAACTTATAATTAAATATTTCGAATTATCCAATTTAAATGCCAAGTTCTATAATTCCAGATTAGATGCTCGTTAATATCTTTTGTACGCTCCATCCCTGCAAAGTACAAGTTTCCACAATGAATGAATTATTATTAAAGAAGTTGGAAGAAACTTGACATTCCGTTAAAATAGTTTTAAACGATCTTTTTCTGTTCTGAAGGAAAAAAAAAAAAGATAAAGGAAAAGGGAGAATAAGAAAATGAGAGAATGAGAAAGAAAGTCAAAGAAAGAAACTAAAAAAGAAAAGTCAGTCAAGTAAAGTTGTCGAGGAGTGAGCAACCTACTACAAAACTTGAACACAAATTTATTTGAAGTCACGTTTCATTATTTTTATTGTATTATTAAGCAGTACATGTGTTTCCGTAGAAACTTTTTCTCGAAATAATATAACGAGCTATTTAACGATCATATTTATTTCTTCTTCTCTGATCTTTTTTTTTTCTCTTTGTATTTTCTTTAAGATGTGATCGTTTGAAAAAAAAAAAAAACTAAAAACGTCGATATCGATAAACAATCTTCACCGGTTTTTTCCTTTTCTAAAATGGAAATATGAGAAATGTATTCGTGTAGATGTTCGCGTCGAGCACTTTGCGTACATAAATTAATGCCAAGAGGCAGGATACGTTACAAGGTGTCATTCAGGATTTCGGTAGTGAGAAATATGAGATTTAGATGGTAGGGGGAAAAGGTTGAAGAGTGGAACGACGTGAAACAAGAGTACTTGACCGAATGGACAAAAATATATATATATATAGAGAGAGAGAGAGAGAGAAAGAAAGTTTAAAACTAAAAGAGCATATCGTACTCATTAAACAACACAAAAACGTACTTCGGTCAACATGAGCTAAAAAATTGACCCCTTCAAAGTTATAAGTGATTTTCAGGATTTTTTTTTTTATTTGCAAATAACTTACTAAGTTGAAGCAACGTTCGAACTACCTTTTTCTTCTTGTGATATAAATACAATAAAATTATTTACGAGAGTAGGTTAAAAAGTTTCGAGCATCGACAAAAATAAACTTGTACATTATTATATTTTTTTTTAACTAAAGTGAGTTTGATCGAATAAAAATTGTTTCTATGTTAGTCTCGAAACTTTTCAACTTACCCAAGTGTACATTCTATGTTATCAAAGAACTTTCGTGAAAATCCTAATCATTATAATATATTTTTCTATAAAAATATTTATTTAATCTTTACTGAAAAAAATGCTTACTCACTGTATAAAAAAAACCCTGTCATTTGTTTATTATAATTTCTCATAGAAATCCAGTAACTAATTATCAAACTGAGAATCTTTTAATGATCAAAATTTGATCGTAAATATAAATGTACGATATTTTTGCAATGAGCATTGCTACCTTCTAATAAACTTCGTTTAGTTGATAAATCTATGAAGCTACGAATTAATGATGCTCTTGCAATTTACTTAACAATATCCCCCTTGAAACGCGTTCGATGGAAATTCCTTTTTTTGTTTTGTGAGCTTGTAATGAGATCGAACTAACTTTTAATACAATTATTAAAAAGTAAGGACATCGAGAGCTTGCTTCAAAACGTTCATTCTCACGTTCGCCAGACCATCATTTGTAGTTCGATGAACTTTTTAATATTAATTAAACAAAGGTACAAATCTCTTCATAAGAAATGCAAAAGATATAATATAAATGTAGAATTTAACGAAGGAGACTTTCTTTTTTTTATGTACTATCGCTTATATCTATGTAAAAAAAAAACACAAAACAAATAATTATATTTCTTTTGCTAAATCTAAGATGTTTATCTACGTCTGGTAATTAATTCGTATAAAATTATAGCACTTGTGTAACACACTGTATGAAAGCAAAATAAATACAAAAAAGGGAAAAATGGGAAAAAAAGGTTTAAAAGAAACAATATCAAGGTTATTTGTTGCGGAGAATAAAAAAAAAAGAAAAGAACGAAATAATGTAGAAAAATAGGGGAAATAGAATGAGAATAAGATATATATATATATATATCATTATGAAAACATAGGTTTAATAATGTAGACAGATAGAAACTATACATGCATTCCATCGTTGAATGCAAAAATAAGCAGGAACAATGAAAAAAGTGGAACACAGCACGTAGCCGTGTTCCTCGTTTGCTCTTTCGTACATACGGTATGTCTGTGATTCATTACTTAAAATGATGACGGTTGACCTATTAACCTCCTTTTTCTTTTTTCTTTTTTCTTTTTTTTTTTCACTTTTGGTCGCACTCTTTGATTACATCTCCACTCTTTCTTTCATTCTCTCTGTTCGATCATATTTTATTTCATTTCCCTGTTGACATGTTAATTTCTAAGTTGAATATTTTTCTTCGTGTTAAATTATCAATAATAATTGAAAGCTTCATTACGATATTCGGTATCCTAACAAATAATTAAAAGAAAAATCAATGAATTCAATGAAACGGGTAGATTCATCAGACGAGATCATTAATAAATGTTATAATGATTGTCCTATATACCAGTTACATCATAATCATTTCTTTGTTTCGCATGTTTATTTACGAAAACGTTCAAAATATTATGTCTAATTGTAAATCCAATACTTGAAACTCATTTAAGAATTCATTGATTTTAGATTCAATGATGAACCAATTGAATTATTTTCCAAATTCGATTAGTTTTTCATTTTTTGTTGGAGAATTTTTAATAACCTATCGCAAGAATAGCCAAATATTGAAGGAGAACGATGAATATCAATCCAAATATGATGAGCTTTAAAATAGATTTATTTATTAGTTTCGATAATCTCACTAGGGAGAGTCCTCTTGAGATGATTCAATTGCTTTAATTTCTCATCTTCCGAATAGAATAAAGAAACAAATGGAAATATATTATATTGAATGATTATTTTTTGATTTAATATTTCATCGAACGTATTTCAATGTCACTTCGATTATTCGCGAAATTGACGGCGTGCGTGTTGCACGCAATGCTTTCTTTAAAGCATTTACCAACAAAAAAAACTGATACCATCGTTTTTCTCCATTTCCTTTTCTCTCTTCCCCTCCACCTCCCCCTAACCCCTCACTCTCTCACTCTCTCTTTCTTTCTTTATCTTTTTTTCTTTCTCTCTCTCTCTCTCTCTCTCTTTGGGAATATCGCAAACGGTTACAAGGAATTCATAGAATTTTTTAACGCAAAAGCTTAGGAAAAAAAGTGGGTCGTCTTGCATACAATATGAAGCAGACAGAATGTGAACAAAATTCCAAGAGACGTCTCGTTTTAGCTTCCTGTCATAATGATTTCTCAGACGGAAAACCTAGTTTCTCTTAACGTTCAGATACGATAGATTTACTGAGACGGATTTCAGGTCGCGTAATATTTAAAAAATATTTCAAATCTATCGAAAATTGATAAAGTATAGACGAAATCTTGACATTTACTAATCGAATTGTTTATCTCTTCTCCTTTTTACCAATTAAATCGAATAGAAGTAAATTATTAAAAAAACAACAAAATCACGTTCTCATTGGAAATGATGAAAATGTAAAGTTAATGATTTTTTAATGATAACTTATACTTAACTTTAATGATAACTTATACTTATTTACTTATTTATTATTTTACTATATTGTAATCCATGACAGGAATAAATTAATAATGCTCTTTTTATTTCTCTACGATTGATCTCGAATAAAATATATTTTATTTACGAACTTATATATATATATGAGATTTTAACTATGCAATTACATCGAAACACTTGTTTCATTGATATTTCTAAAAGTCCGTCGATATTACGTATTATCTGTAAAATGGAAGATCGATGACCCGAAGAAGTTGATGTCAAAATAAGTTAAACTCACCCATGATAAACCAGGAAGGAGAGTAGGAAAAAGATGCAGGCGAGAACATCCGCTCTACCGACGATGCCAGTCACCTAAAATAAAAAAGAAATAAAAAATCTTGAAACACAATATCGTAAATGGCAGGCGATGTATCGATTTTTTGTTACATCACTTTTCTCTTCCTACTTATAATATCTATAATATTTTATTCACATCTTTCCCCCAATAACCTACAAATAATTACAATTATTTTCATTAATATCACTGATATTTATAAAATAATATTACTTTATAATCGAGGAACTGTACCAATTTAAACAACAACGACGACAAAATTCATTGCACGTCAAAAATGAAATTATAGAAGGAAAGGGATTATAAACAACACTAACTAAATAACGTTCTAAAATATGATCTTCAATTAATTCAACACGGTGCTTACGTGACTTACATCCTGACGAGCACTACCTTTTTTCTATCTTTCAAGTACTCGTACCTTCCTTTTCTCTCATTTCTTCTTTCATTCTTTCTTCCAATTATCATTCTCTCTCACTCTCACGCATATTTTTTTATTAGGATTCGATCTCTATGCATTTTTGATTTGAAATTGTCTAACAAAAAGAAACAAACCGTATGGTTTGTTGACATCTTTCTGACTCTTTTATAATAATTTCACGTTTCTAATAAAATAAAGAAATGAAAGAGAGAAATGAAACGTTAAGAAAAGATATTAGGAAAAATCAAAAAAAGAAAGAAAATGAAAGGAGAGAATCCTTAACACGAAGCTTATCAACGAAAGCATAGTCAGTGAATAATCGTGATTTTCAAGGATTTCAGAGAACTACCACCGGAAGTTGTACTTCCTTCCATCTTTTCTTCCTTCCCCGTCTGTTTTTCCATTTCTTCTACTCCCATCCTTATTTAACTAAAATACGAAGTGCACTTTAAAAATTTACGAAGCTCGTCTATTACGATAAAGTATCCCTACTTGCCATCCCTAACGAATTAATTCCGCGGGGTGGTTACTGAATGTGTAAAAGGATAGAAAAAGAAAACAAGACAAAGAGACTAAGATAGAGAGGAACGAGTTAAAATAAAAAAAAAAGAGTTTAAGGAAAGGTGGAAAAAAAGGTGAGAAATCGAGGGATTTACCCGAATCTATCTCACCGCGATGCAAAATTATAGTCTCCCTTATTCCCTTTTCTAATCCGATAGATCGAATGAATTTTCAACACTTCTTTTCTCTCTTCTCGCAAGCTGAAAAATAGGACTTGGAGGAAAAGCACTTTAAATGTACGATACATTTGAGAACGTACGAGAACTTTTTACTCTTTTTTACGCGTTATATACGATATCTTTTTATTATTTATTATTTTATTAGACACCATTCTCTCATTTGAATTTTCATTCATATTTCAGTAAATATTTCAATGACATTTATAAACAGAATCCATTACGGATAGATATTAACATTATCGTTAAATTGGAAACTGTAATTACTGATACGAAAGACAGTGATGAATATTCACTTTAAATCCAGCAAGGGCCACGTCAAGAAGTAATTAATCACAGAGTTACAACGACGTGACGACAAAAGTGGGTCATGTATTTACGCACTCATATAAAAGACAAAGACATCAAATCATAACTCACGTTTCTATAATTTCAATGTTTGAATTTTAAATAACATACTTACATACAATCTACATATTATATACATTTATTTTTGTAAGTAGTTAAAAATATTAAGATACACGTAATAATCATTTATTGATATTGAATTTTTAATTTTTTTTAAAAAGATCATACTGATTAAAGTAAAAATGATTTATTGTTTATAATTTTGAATTGCAAAACATTTATTATATCACCATAAGAATTCATTGTAATATACAAAATGGACGATGATTTGAATGAAATTATCATTATTATTATTATTATTATTGGTTGATTTATCTAATCTTGAAAGTTGGAAAAAATTAGTATAAATCACGCACAAAAACTAATATTCCATCAATGTCAAGATAAATAAAAACAGATCACGAAGTGTTTTATCGAAGGTCCAAGAGCTCTATGATCGAGGGTTCTACTTAAGATAACAGAGATTATCCTTACTACCTCGTGATAAACTTCTTATATACCCTCGGATATATCGGAAAGGATAACTAACAATTTTCCAAAATATCAAGGATTATCCCGATCCAATGTAACCTAAGAAAAATTTATATCGGTTCTTGTTTATAGAATAAATGTATAAAATGATCTCAATGATCCAAAACTTTATTAACGCAACCTGTTTTAATCGCATAAATTGTTTATCTACAGCATTGATTGCACGCATATTCAGAGAGATAATGATAAAATAAACAATAAATATAGTCAAATAAAATAATATAATATTATACGAGATAATATTTCAAAATATCAAATATAATATTTATAAATAATTAAAAATACAATAACGTTTTTTTCTTATTT